GGGTGACATGGCACTGGGTGTGTGACACCCTGGGAGGGGGATTATGGGCCCTGTGACCATGGCAACGCAGGGGGGGGGGACGGGGCAGGGGCCATGTGTGACTCCAGGGTGGTGGCCAGGCCCTGTCCCCCCGCCCCGCGCTGAGGCCCTGTCCCTGTCCCCGCAGCATCGTGCACCTGTGCCTGCGCAAGGCCGACCAGAAGCTGGTGATCCTGAAGCAGATCCCGGTGGAGCAGATGAGCAAGGACGAGCGGCTGGCGGCGCAGAACGAGTGCCAGGTCCTCAAGCTGCTCAGCCACCCCAACGTCATCGAGTACTACGAGAACTTCCTGGAGGACAAGGCGCTCATGATCGCCATGGAGTACGCCCCAGGTGGGCCCTGATCTCCCCCGGCGCCTGCAGCTGGTTCCTCGGCAGGTTCAGGGGATGCCAAGCCCTCAGCTCTCCTTGGATCGGGCTGCTGTTGGCCCCATGTTGTGCTCCTTATAAAGATCCCGTGCTTTGGACCCCCAAAGAGTCCAAACACATCTCTCTTAAAGAGACATTTTTGTAGAAAAGGATCTGGGGGTCCTGGTGGACACCGAGTTGACCATGAGCCGAGTGACCGAGCACTGGCACAGATTGCCCAGAGAGGTTGTGGAGTCACCATCCTTGGAGATATTCAAAAGCCAGGTCGTGGTCCTGGGCAACCAGCTGTCGGTGGCCCTGCTTGAGCAGGGGATTGGACCAGGTGACCTCCGGAGGTCCCTTCCAACCTCAACCATTCTGTGATTCTGTGATTATATGCCTTATGCCTGCTAATCATATCCAAAACAAAGAGGTTTCTAACGCCTCTGTCGCTGATAAGTGTGCTACCATCTGCCCTTGGCTTGGGTTTCACACGCATTTCCCTGTGTCAGCTCTCGGCCACGCTGTTGGTCCCACAGCTCTGTGTGGGAAGGTGTGATTTCTAACGAGATTTGCTGTGGAGTTCAAGATGAAATCAACATTTGCATGAGGCTTTGTTAAAAGTTGTACGTGAGCGCTGAATCTGGACCTCCCCTTCTCGATAGGGGCCTCTCTGTGCCACGTGGCCTGTCAGACTGCAAGAATTCTCTTTTGCAGAACAGGCTTATCTTGTTCTGCCATCGAGGTTTATGTCCTCCTCCAAGAGCTGTAATTTTAGCGTTTCTTTTCCTGCTGCCTTTGACAGTATGTCAACAGTAACTTCTCTCTTGCTGTTTCTTCGTCCCACCAACTGTGCTGCCATTGTTCTCCGCACGGTCTCGGGAGCATTGGAGGACGTGCTGCGTGGTCCCACCGGGATGTGCTTTTTCCCATGCACTTAGCTTGTTAAGATGCCGTGGCTAAATCCCCCTGGCTTTTAGGCCGGGTTCGTGCTGCCCTGTGCAGCCACCCTTGCCGATAGCCCTTTGTCGTTCTTTGCAGGGGGCACGCTGGCGGAGTTTATTCATAAGCGCTGCAACTCCTTGCTGGATGAGGATACCATCCTGCACTTCTTCGTGCAGATCCTCCTGGCTCTCCACCACGTGCACACCAAGCAGATCCTGCACCGTGACCTGAAGACTCAGAACATCCTCTTGGACAAGCATCGCATGATTGTCAAGATCGGAGACTTTGGTATCTCCAAAATCTTGAGCAGCAAGAGTAAAGCCTACACGGTGGGTGGCCTGGCCTTGCAGGGGAACTGCTTACCACCATGGCAGCACAGGCTGGAAACTCTGGACTTGGCTCACGACAGTCTCTTGGAAGTCGCTGTAGGCAGCGAGGTTGCATAGTTGCAGGAGATAGCATACTTGCAGTAGGCCGCATCCGTGTGCCGCGATGCTGCTTTGCTCCTTGGAGTTTATACAGGCTGATGTCTTCACGCCCAAGTTTGCTGCAGCTCTCTGGGCTGCAGAAAGGTGAGAAGGACCTGCCTGCCCAAGCCTGGCGGAGGAATGGGGGGTCTGGGCCCACTGGTGAGGGTAGACAGGGTTCCTCCCACTGTCACAGTGGGAGGGGCGGTGTCTGCAGGCTCGTCTGACACGTTCTTGGCAGCTGAATTCCTGCCTGTGCCCCGCCGTCCTGCCTCCTCTTAATCTCCTCTCTCTGCTTGAGACTTGAGTATCATTCCCCACCTGGTCTAATCTGACTAGACGTTTATATCACGCTCATTGCTCCGGGCTCTGATTCTCTCAAGTGGATAGGAGCAAAATTAGAGGTAATCTCTGTGTGTGCAAGAGAGGTCACCGGAAAGGCAAATCCTCCTGCTTTTTACTGAGATTGTCAGGCAGATGTTGACACCAGGGAACAAAAGCTCAGCTCCACTAAGCTTTGGTTGGTGATGCTCTAGCCAGCCTGCGCACTGGGCTCTAAACTGAGCCTTTCTCTTTCCACCTCGCTGCCCCAGTTTCACAGCATCATGGTAAATTTCTTTGCCTCTTCTTAGGTTGTGGGAACTCCGTGCTACATCTCCCCAGAGCTCTGTGAAGGGAAGCCTTACAACCAGAAGAGTGATATTTGGGCTTTGGGCTGTGTGCTGTACGAACTCGCCAGCCTCAAGAGGGCTTTCGAAGCTGCGGTAAGAGGGATATAGTTTACATGTAGTGCAGGGAGCCGTGGCCTCTTGCAGAGGTGAAAATGTATGCTTGGATCACTCTTCTCACTGAGCCTGGAGGTGCGAAGGCAGAGGGCAGTGCTGAGAACTTCTTGCTCCTCAGCCTCACCTCTGACCGCCCAGCCACTGTATGTCTCTCTCTTGTTTTCTCTCCAGAATCTTCCTGCCTTGGTACTGAAGATCATGAGTGGGACGTTTGCCCCAATATCAGATAGATACAGCCCCGACCTGCGCCAGCTCATCCTTAGCATGCTGAACCTGGATCCTTCCAAGCGGCCCCAGCTGAATGAGATCATGGCCCAGGCCATCTGCATTCGGCCCCTTCTGAACCTCTACACTGATGTGGGCAGTGTCAAAATGAGAAGGCAAGTGATACTGCCACCTTAGTGTCCCTTGGGAGGGGCTGCCGCAGCCCACAACGTGTCTGAGCGGCTCGCTGTCTCTGTTACGAGCTCTGAAGGAAGCGTCGTCCCCATGCAGCTCTCCTGCTGCATCTCAGCAGCGTGCAGCTGCTGCGGGCTGAGCCTGGCCCAGTGGCTCGGGGCCACGGCAGGTGCCATGGCAGGTGTGGGCTTGTCATCACAGTGACAGTGAATAGAGAGTTGTGAGCTCAGGGGGAAGTGAACTGATGCCAACTCCCCTCTCTCAGGTGGTTTAAAGCACCTACCGAGGCAATTCTGTGAGCTATTCAGCCGTGGCTTATGCTGTAGCTCTGCCCAGACCTTCTGCGATCCAGGGCTCTGCAGGACCTCTGGGGCCGAGCTGACATTAAGGACTGGATTTTGGTTTGGCAGGCCTGAAAAACCCTTGGCTCCGGTGCCGACAGTGACCCACAGCCGGAACGGGGGACGAGTGAGCAGTGCCAGGCCGAGGGGTGAGTCCTGGCATGGTGTGTTCAACACAGCTCCATTCGGAAGGACCCTTTCCTTTGGATGACGGGGTCAGAGAGGCACTCGAGCTTCTGGAGAGAGGAAGTTAAGAGACGTCACCTCCCCCGAGCCCTGGAGGAGCCCACGGGCACCTTGGCTCTGGGGACCAAGCAGCGCTCTTTCTCCAGCTGCCTCTTCTAGGTTTTGAACCCTTGAATCAAGTTTCTGCTGTTCCCAGCAAAGGCAGGGAACCAGCTGGAGGTGCTGAGGGGGGATGTCCCAGCGCAGGGCAATGCAGCTGGCACTGGTAACAATTAGGCTAGAGCTGTCGTGGTGCTGCTTCCCTCAATTCTGGGATAAAATGCAAGGCGCTGTTCCCATGTGCTTCTCTCAGCCCTGGCTGGGAGCTCCCCAGCAGCCCCTTGCCAGCCTTGGACCGGTGCTGGTCTGGCCCTGCTGGCTGGCAGGCAGCTCTGCTGGCACCCAGACTGGCTGGTGTCATTTCTTTTCCTGTGGGAGGAGAGGCAGGGATCTGCGTTGATGATTTCTCTTTGACCCGTAGGTGTTCGAGGTGGTTCAGCCAGGACGGGAATCCCTCCTCCGCTGTCGTCCATCTACACCTGGGGGAGCGGGATCACCACCCCCCTCCGCCTGCCCATGCTTAACACCGAAGTGGTGCAGGTGTCTGCCGGCAGGACGCAGAAGGCCGGGGTCACCAAATCGGGGCGGCTCATCCTGTGGGAGGTGAGTGACGGGGAACCTGCGGCAGGCAGTGGCCGTGGAAGCCTCGGATGTGCCGTTTCTGAGGAGGAGACGTTTCTGCTCACTGCACAGGCCCTGGCGCTGCGTCCCCCAGGACCTCTGTCCAGTCCAGGGTGCGGGTAACACTGCTAAGCCTGTGGGAAGGGGCTCTTGCTGCACGGAGGTGCAGCAGCTGACGTGGCTTCTCTCTGCCAGGCTCCCCCGATGGGTGCTGCGGGAGGCCCTTCTCTCCCAGGAGCCACCGAGCAGCTCCAGCCTCAGTTTGTGTCCCGCTTTCTGGAGGGCCAGTCTGGCGTGACCATCAAACACGTGTCCTGCGGTGATCTCTTCACAGCCTGCCTCACAGGTGCGCTGCTGCCTCCTGCCTTCGCCTGGCTGAGTCCCAGACCCCTCTGCATGGCAGCTGGCTTGCAAATGCAGCGTGACTGCCTGGGGAGCCTGCTCAGAGAGGAACCCGAGAGATCCACTGCACTGGGGTGACATGAAGGCCTCTGTGGCCTCTCATGTAACATCAGGTGGGGGTCGGAAATGGCAGGCACCGTCCTCCTATGATGCCACACGGGTCAACTTGGTCCCAAAGGTCTGTCTGGTGTGGGGAGGGCCACAGGTTTGTTGTCCTGGCTGCACTGGTGTCACCTGAAGCCAGAACTGGCTTGTACAGTGGGGACTGCAGTGTGAGGAGTGTCTGGGAAGTTCAGTCTTTCTCTGTCACGTACTCTGAGAGTGTGACGCAGACACAAGCAGTGACCAGCGGTGACTGGCGTTGCAGTGAGAAGTCAGCGTGAGCTCCTGCAGGGCCAGTTGTCCTCAGCTGCAGGAAGGCAGGGTCTGAAGCCCCCTTAGAGTGGGCCAGGAGGCGTTCTGGCTGGGAGGGGAGCACGCACACCAGCCCAAGGCCGTGTTTGTGGAGCAAAGCCCTCCCCATGGTCCTCTGGGAGCCGTGTTTGCACTTCTGCTGGGGATCAGGGCAGCAAATGACAGATATGCAACCGGCAAACTTCGTAGGCATGTGTTTGTCCTACCTCTCCATGGCGTTTCCTGCCACCCCTCTGCTGGGTGGCTGCTCAGTGAGTGTCCCTGTGTATTTAACACCTTGACAGACCGTGGAGTTAGCAGCTCCTGCGTACACAGCTGCAATAATGTTATCTCAGTGCTCTCCTATCATCTGCTGTTTGTTTGGCGAGTTGTCGCGGCACATGGAGGCTGCTGCTCTCTGGAAGCTTGCTGAAGGCTTCTGGCCCCCGCAGCAAGTTATGAGTCAGAGTGGGTCCAAGCAGAGCCGCTGTCCTGGGAGCCAGGGCCAGCCCCACGGGCTGCGTGTGCCTTGCAGGGCCTCACGTGTGCCAGTAACACGACTTCTTTCTGCTTTTCCAGACAGGGGGATAATCATGACTTTCGGCAGCGGCAGCAATGGCTGTTTGGGGCACGGAAACTTCACGGACGTAAGCCAGGTTTGTCGTGAGGATGCTGGGCACGCTGCTCCCCCAAGGTAGAGGATGGATCATGCCTTCTGCGCCACATGAGAGGGCTCATCCCAGCTCCAGGGATGTGCATCCCAGGCATGCTCTGGCATCCCACCCCCTCCCCCTCCTCTCCCTGTCACTGCGGGTTTTAAAAGACCCAACCTGCCTCTCTCTTTCTCTCTCCCCCCCTACACAATGATCTCTTTGAGCGTGGGGGAAGTCAAGAGCTGCCTTGTGGTTGCTGTTGGCAGGCACCCAGCTTGGAGGCTGCTTCCAATCACACACCTGCCTGCTTCACTCTTGGCCTGCAGCTGCCAGGGTTCACTGAGAAAAGTTATTTTTCAAAAGAGCCAGTATTTAAAGAAGAGCTGTGTGTTTCCGATTGGCTCGGAGCACTAGGGCTGAGGGCCCGTCGCTCCCTTCCAGCTTCTTCCTTGCCTGCCCTCGGATGTGGCAGGGGCCCGCGGCGTTCCCCCAACTCCTTCCCCCCCCGGGGGGGGGCCCCCAGCCGATGGCCTTCCAGCCGGCCCGGAGACTGGTGCCATTTGTCGCTGTGGTCAGCTGGCTCGTTCGTTCCTGCTCCGTCCAGAGCTGAGCTGCTTGGTGCTTATTGCTGGGGAGGGGAGACCAGTTGGGAGCAGCAGCCAGATCCCAACAAATGGTGCTTTTCACTTGAAGAAGATAATGAGAATGAGACTCGCTGGGGCGAGGTGTCAGATCTAACAGCAGGTCACAGCAGGGGCTGGGCGAAATGTGGAGATCCTGGTCTCTCCACACCCTAACGAATGTGTAACCGATAGCTCACAGCTCTGCGCAAAAGCCTTTCAGCCGATGCATCCTGCACCATGCCCCTGCCTGCTCAGAGCGTGCGTTAACAGCCCCTGGCACTCCCCACATGGGCAGGGGGGCGAATCCCAACCCTTCGGCTGAACCTATTCCCTCTCCAAACCGTTGTGCTGGCTGCTTTCTTCCGCCCCAAAGATGTTTGCATTATCTTCTGTGCTGTGTGCACGTAGCCGCTAAACCCTTTGAAGACTGTTTGGAACAAAAAAAAAACCTCTCTGGTGTTTGTGTTGGATGAAAACTGGGATGCTGCCAGCGCTGTGTTGAGGCTGGGGGGGCCGGGTGGGAGGGATGGGAGCAGCCGGGCAGGCTGGGAGGTCTCGGCTGACGGCTGCTGCTCTTCCCCTGCCAGCCCAAGATCGTGGAGGCCCTGCTGGGCTACGAGATGGTGCAGGTGGCCTGTGGTGCGTCTCACGTCCTGGCGGTTTCCAACGAACGGGAAGTGTTTGCCTGGGGCAGGGGGGATAATGGTAAGAGATGTCTGCTTTGCAAAACAGGGCTTGTGCTTTCCATTGCCTGTTTCCACTTCCCTCGCTGGCCCTGCTTGCCCGCAGTCCTCTCCAGATGCACCGGGCTACGTGGGTGTGGAAGAGGTGCAGCTGCTTTGCCGCATACCAGGGCCCCTGTGCTTTGGGTTTCACTGCCTTCTGTGGCGATAGGTCCCAGGCTGGGCTCCTGCAGCAGCTGTGTCGATGCCGTTGATCGTGGGGGTGTGCTCAGTTTGCGTGTTGCCATCAGCTGTGCCCTGCTCTGTTCCTCCTGCCAGGTCGGCTTGGGCTGGGTACCCTGGAGTGCCACAACTCCCCCCAGCAGGTCGCAGTCCCACCGGACCACGAGGCTCAGAGGGTCATCTGCGGCATCGATTCCTCCATGGTCCTCACAGTGAAGAACCAGATCCTCGCTTGTGGGAGCAACAGGTAAGGGAGTGAGGGTCTGTGCTCCAGAGCTTGCCTGCAGCCTCCTGGGCCTGCCCAGCCCAGGAAGAGGGAGCAGGAGGCTCTAGAAGACATCTCTGTGTGATCCTACTCCCCAGCATCTTGCTGCTGGTGGTGCAGTTATGCTAGGGCAGGCTTTGTGTCCGGGCTGTCTGGGCCAGGCTGCATTCAGCCGGCTCTGAACTCTGCTTTTCCCCGTGCAGGTGTAACAAGCTGGGCCTAGATCGGATCAGCTCAGCAGAGGAGCCTTCCTCAGAGGACCAGGTGGAAGAGGCCACCATGTTCATGTGTGCCCAGTCGTCCCCCTTGAACCAAGAGCCGATTGTGTGTGCTGACATCGGTACAGCGCACTCAGCTGCAGTCACAGGTGAGGGGGGTGTGCCCAAATCCCTGAGCGGGGACCTGCATTTTCGCTGTCTTCCTCGTGCCTCCATTTCCCATGGGTAGAAGCCTCAGAGAGGCTCAAGAGGCACCGTGCTCTCGATGCTGGAGCTCTGTGGAGCAGGATGTTCAGCATGGTAGAGAGCAATGGGCTTCAGTGCATCCTCGGGTGACACCCAGTTGTTTCTCTCATCTTTGTTGTCAGCTTCTGGCCAGTGTTACACCTTTGGGAGCAACCAGCACGGGCAGCTGGGCACCAACTCCTGCCGCAACAGCCGCGTACCCCACCTGGTTGTGGGGCTCCAGGCGATGAAGGTCACCGTGGTGGCTTGTGGGGATGCCTTCACTGTGGCTATCGGAGCAGGTGAGGCTGAAGCACCTGTGTCCTCGGCTGCAGCAGGCCCTGGCTTTCCTCTGCCTGCAGTCCATGCTGTGGCCAAGGCAGGCCTTGGAGATAGCCCAGGGCGGTACCAGGGAGATGGGAGGCCTGTTTGTGGGTGAGCTCTGTGTGCAGCGAGGTGTACATACCCCTCTGCAGACGGCGAGGTGTGCACTTGGGGGAAAGGAGCCAGGGGACGCCTGGGCAGGAAGGACGAGGAAACGGGAGCGCCGAGACCTGTGCAGCTGGAGGAGACGCATCCATACCTGGTGACCTCCGTAGCCTGCTGCCACGGGAACACACTGCTGGCAGTAAAGCGTGAGTAGAGGCTTTGTCACCGTGACTCCTGCCACTAGGGCCCAGCCAGACACAATGCCTCGTGACTGGAGCTGTGCTGAGTAACCCTGGCACATAAGCTCTGTGTTGTTCTAGTCCCTCTAGAGCTGTAGATGAATAGAAATAACTTGAAGCCCATAAAAACTCCCCTTCTGCTATCCAGCACCATGACACTGCCACTTCCACTGGGCTGGGGGAGCAGAGGGACGGCAGAGGCGATCTCGTGCACTCCCAGACAAGTGGGCTGGCCAGGCTGCGGCTGGTGGGGAGCTGGTGTGCTGGCGGTCCACCGAGTATCCAAAAAGAGCAGCTCTCTAATTGATGCTGCTGAAATAGAAGCTGAGATTTGAGGCGTCATTTTGGCTGCTGGCTTTCCATTGTGGTTTGGAAAAGATAGCGATGGTTTTGTGGTTCTTCTCTGCTCGGGCCAAAGGCAGCATCGTTGCGCGGTTAAAACATGCCCATGGCGTGACCTGCCCTACCGTTGCCTGGATGTACGATGGGAGCCTGGCCCAGACTGCTGGAGGGGCCTTTCTTCCTCCTCTGCTGGGCCGATTATGGCCTCAGCGCTGGGCTGAGGGATTCCGGTCCCAGCCCACTTCAAGGAGGCTAATTACACCCCGGAGGGGAGGAGGCCCGGCTGACTGCCCCAGCGCAGTGGAATCGGCTGTGGCTCCCGTTCCTCCCCTACGAGTTCCGAGCTCTCACGTGATGTGTGCTGCCACGTGAAGGGGACAGGGAATGGCCGAGTCCCCAGGCTCGGGAACAAGTAGGGCATTTGTCATGGGAGTAAAAGGGTTTTGTTTCTGCAGGAAGGCTGCAGGCTGCTCTCCCCTTCCCGCTGCCGGAGTCACCCTGTGCTCCGTGGCAGCTGGTTTGTCAGCGCCCACCTGCAGCACCGTAAGAGCAGGGACTGAGCACGTAGCCCCCACCGTAGCCCCACTGCTGTCCCTCCGCACTGCCCAGTCCGAAACCTCAACCCTCCTTCCCGGTAGTGGAAGTACAAACTTGGCAGCAGGGGTGGCAGGGCAGCAGCCTCGCCTGCTCCAGCATCCCTCAGTAACCGGGGTGCAAAAAGCATTGAGACCTCTGTAAAAAGCTAAGTTCTGCCTCTGGACTTTCACACAGCTCAGTCTGCCTGGAAAACCTCTCCAGAGAGAACACGAGAGCCGGTGACATGCTTGATGTCATTGCCGCTTGTCAGCTCTGGCTGTGATCTGACCCGGAGAGGGTGCTGGCACAGCCGAGCGGTGCTCCACCTTTGGGGCGGCAGTTCTGCGCCGTTCTGCGGTTTCCTCCCATGCAGCCAACACCGTTTTTAACTGGCTTGGGCTTCCACCCGCTTTATCGTGAGGCCGTTGCTGCGCCCTTCTCTCAATCCCGCTGCAAACACAGGAATAACTGGGAGAAGCCAGGTGTGCTGGAGAGGAAGGGTGCAAGCCTCAAGAGACTGCATTTCCTCCTGCTTGGGCTCTGTGCGCTGGGCATTGCCGCCTGCTTGTGCCGCTACTGAGGCCTAGTGGCGGCTTCCTGGGGTAATGGGACAGGGATTGCGGTGCCCATCTGTTGGGCGTCTGGCCTGCGTGGGGCAAGGCACTGCTGCCTGTAGCTTCATTGAGAATGGCGGCTTACGGCTTATTCTTGCCCTTTGTGTTTCAGCTGCCGTGGAAGAGTCACCCTCCCAGTGAGTCTGAGTTGAGAGGGGCCATATCCAGCCTCGTCGTATAGATGCGGAGGCACCCCCAGCCACCCGGCGTGCCTGCCCTTGCTGCCGCTGCCTGCTACAGCCTGGCTCGGACCTGCGTCCCTGGACTCGGGAGCTCCTCAGCTGCGCTCCGAAGGCAGCAGTCTGGAAGCAGGGAGCTCCTAACGATGGTTCCCACGGAACCGGAGCTGGTCTCGCTTATCGAATCAACGAGGGTCGCTGTGAACCTCCAGCGCCTGAGAGCTGCTGCCCGGGATGTGCCGTGGGGCAGACGTCCCCGGAGCTCTGGTGCTGCCTTCAGGGGGTTGCACCGGGGGTCTGCCCCTCTGCGCTGGAACTGCCTGTGTAGAAGGGTGAGCAGCACAGAGGTTGTTTTCCCCCATGGAAGCTGTCTCTGGTTACAAAGCCCAGGCTGACAGCTTGGTGTCTGAGAGAGCTGTCAGCCTTTGCACGGCAGTGTCTGGAGTTAGGGCCCCAGGCGCTACACTGGGTGACTAAGTGCAAACCTCTTTTCTAATTAGAGAAGTCTGTCCTTTCCCATCCCCCCCTTAAAAGATTTCACCCAGTTGTTGAGCTGTTCATCACGCTTTCGAGGGTCCTGGTCTGCATGGCTGGCCGAACCCGGCGCGAGCAGCCTCTGTACGGTGCAACCCGGCTCGCTCACCCGAAATGCTGCCTGGAGCTTTCCAATTACGGCCTCCCCCGGCCCCAGGAGCTCACTGGAGGATCCTCAGCTGACGTGTCCTGAGGCCCCTAAATCCTGCTGCTGACCAGCTCACTGGCTCCCAGCTGAGCTAGCGGAAGGCAGCAAAACACAGCGAGCGATTGTCAGTAATTGAAGTTTTTTAACCCAGATCTCTCCAGGGAGATGAGGAGTTTTCACCAGGGATCCTCTCTGCAGGCAGGAGGGGGCATATCGCCATGTCACAGGCAGGAGTTACGTTTTTTATCTCCAGAAGGGTTGTTTCCTTTCCTTTTTTTCCTCCTCTTTTCTTTTTTTAACTTACATCTGCCCTGGGCCATTTTCTGATGAGCTTCTGTCTCTGATCTGTCTGACATTGCAAATGCTCTTGCCTTTCACATCCATCTTTGTGCTGTTGCCAATCTGTTGTGTATAAAGTCAGTGCTTTCATAAGCTGGCTGAGATGAAATCTCTCTAATTATTTTTGTGATTCTTTCCTGTTTTCAATGAGGGAAACCTCGCCGGGCTCTGGTAGAAGCCGACTGATCCCTCTGTCATGTGAAAGGTAATGAATTTCTGCAGGTCTCCTGCTCTTTCCTCCCTTGCCTCCCAGGCTCCGGCTGGGGAAGGGAGCACGTCCCATCCAGCCGGGAAAGGCGTGTGCAGCCCTGACTGCAGACGCGGCCTCCCTGTTTGGCTCCTGGCAGGGTGGGTGCATGGGTTTTTCCCTGCCGTCTTTGTTTCTTGCGGAGCTGCCTTCTCAGGCGGTTACACCCTGCTATCCCAGGAAGCTGACTTGCGTTCAAAGGCTCTGCCAGTCCCTTGGCACTCGCCTTGTGCTGCAGGTTACAGGGACGGCTCCGGCAGCCCCGTGTCAGCGGAGGGGAAGGTGTTCTCCGCTCCCAGACCAACCTGGGCACCAGGGTAATTGCAGGGCTGGGTTAAATTGACCCGAAGCCCCTCTGGGCTGCTGTCCTCCTGAGCTGTCGGCAGCACCGGCTCCTACAGCAACAGATTTCACCTGGCTGTGCTGTGTGCTCAGCTCTGGGGGCTCCCCTCACCCCACAACACGTGCAAACACATCCCATAAGAAGGGATTGGCGTTCCTGCTACAGCCTCGCCAGGCCTAGGGGCTGGCTGGGACGGCAGGCGGGCAGGACAGAGGTCTCTGCCACCCTTTGCCTTGTCAATGGTGGCACCAAAAGCCACCACTCCGGGGGATGTGTGGCCGGAGAGCCGGGCTCTCCCTGCTCCAGCTGGGCTGCCGAATCCAGGGGTGAGCCCCCGGCAGCCCCCCCTGTTCCCACTGATGTGCTGGCGTTTGGGTGGGTTGTTTTATGGCTTAATGATACCTTTGCACAGCAGTGCTGGGCTGGAGGTGTCACTGGCTCGAATATTGGGACCCTTTGCTCGGGGCAGGGGGAACCAGCGCAGACCAGTGCGCTTTGTGCTGGGCCGGGGGCTCGCGGCGAGGGCTGGAGCCCTCGGGATTTCGCAGCCTGTGCACTCGGTGCAGGAGTTCAGCTGTGAAGCCCAGCGAGATGATTTGAATAATTTAATACCGGGCTGTGACCAAGCCTGGCGAAAGGGTAAAGGAAACAAAGAGGCCCCCAGCCCCGAGCAACAATAGCTCTTGAAACGACAAGCCGAGGCATGTCCACGCTGCCGGAGGCAGAGAGCAGCCCGGGCAAATAGGCCAGTTGCATTCCTCACGTCTGCTGCTTTGTTTCCCTGCAGAAGCTCCCGGTGAAAACTGCAGGTCTCAGGGCTTCTCCCTTTATCCTTGTTTTGTTCCCGCGTCCTGCGGAGCTGGTGGTGGATCAGCCGCGTCCCCGTGGCTCTTCCTGCTAAAGGAAGGCAGGGCCAAGAGGGAGCGGGCAGGGGAGGTGATGCAGGGATGGGGCTGCCTGGTCCCATCTTGCGCATCCCGGCCGGTGCGGGTCCCCTCTGTTCCTCGTCACCCAGGGAAAGCCCGTCCCCATTCCCGTGCTTGATAATATCCCGCTGACCTGGGGCCATCGTTGTCAGCAGGAAACAGCCCAAACCGCCTCCTG